AACACAACACACAATCAAACTAAACAAAAGGAATAAATACATGACAGGAGAGATAATGAATAAATAGCAAGAACCTCTGTTCAACTTCTCCATAAGCATGTTCCTCTTAAATTTACTTTACCTGAGAGTTTAGATGACACATCCCTTCAGTAAAAATCCACCCCAGTTTCAAATAATGCTCCAAGCATTTGTGTTCTTAAACACTGTGGCTGGGGGATGGTTACTAGTTCTTTTCACTAACAAACTTGTTCAAACAGTTCTTTTTGAAACACTTCCTTCTCTAACACCAATAGGTCAACCAGATTCAAATCTGAAGGAATGAAAAACTACTCTCTAAATCAAGGGTTCTTTGGAAAAACTTCATTTTACCTGAGTCCCTACAACTTTTCTTTTCCAGTTTGAATATAAACTGAAAAGCCTTACGCCTGAACAGTTATTACAGAGTAAAATCACTTCCCCATTGGGCATGCCCGGAATTCAGGGGAAATCTGCTTTCAAGTTTGTCTGATGGCCCTGGACCAGATGCTCCAAGGTGGCCAGAAACCTTTGTCTACACCCACTTAGCAGATTATTGGCTCTTTATTGGGAACTAAGAGGTTTATTTGCAGAAATGAATCATTTCCTTCAAAATATCCTTTACTCTATTTACATGCTTGCATATTCCTTCCATTTTGTTTTTCCCCCTACAGCTTTACTAAGGGAATTAATTATCTAGAAGAACAGGAACATACAGTAAGTACATCTGAGATACAGGATGAGACACAGTATGTCATCTATTAGGCCTGGCTAAGACCAGCAGCTGATGCTAAATGGGAAGGAACATGCACCAAATGTTTTTTAATCACAAAGTTAGTAATTAATTGCTCTTTAAAATACATTTTATGCTTCTTTCTGTCTGTGTACATGAAATGCACATTTATTACATGCCAAAAATTACAACATTATGGTTTAAATGTGACTGGCACGGAAGTCCGGAAATCAGAGTTAATGTTCCCACAGCAACTTTAATTCTGTCCGTGTGCACATGTAGAGCTCTAATCGTCTTCCGTTCCAGGATAATACATATAGATGGTTTGGGAAGGGAAGCTCAAGACCCATATCCTCAACTGTAGTTACCGGAAAAAAACAAAGGATAAAAGCTGTGCTCCTTTCCACGTACGTGGATAAAAAACAATGTCCTCGCGCCCGGTGTTGTGTAATCCGGGAATGAAAAAATCCGCTGTGATGTCGGCACTCAAGGGGACAGTTTCTGTTGCTGTGGGAACCTGAACTTTGCATTTCCTGACTTTGGGGTAATTAAAATGTCAGCCTTAATGTGGCATTAATGGAGTTTGCCATAAAGAAATCCTCTTTGTTTTGTTCTCATAAAAAATTGCTTAAAAAGTTCATAATGAACCAAGTGTACTAAAATCTTCGGTCAGGGGGGACTGACGCAAAGGTTTGGGATGGGGAAGGCCAAGTGAGGTGGAACGCCTGAGAGCAAAGGAAGAGCCCACCCGGCTCCTCCCTCGAAAATGCTCAGCCCCTTAAGATTCATGCTACCTACAGAGCTAAAGTTAAACCCGCCCACACAACAGTTTGGTAATGTGTAAAGGTTAAATTAAAAATAAATAAAAACTGTTAATGCGTAAGTGCATCTTGGCAAGGACACAAAAAATGAGACAATTTGATGAGGCCAGTGCAAGACACAAGAAGGTAAGTAACCACAGATGCCAGCTTCCAACAAAACAGACATCAAACTAGGTCCTTCCAAAGTAGGGAGGCAGCCAAAGAGGGTTGGGGAAATCGCTCCTCCCTTCGACCGGAGCCTTATCTGGAGGAAGACAAAATGGAAGTGTCTGTCACATGTACATGACTGAGATGTGCTAGGCTTGACAGTTGTCAAGAAAGGTTTTCCTGGGAAGAGCTCCAACAGCTCTCCTGCGGTAGGAGAGTAGGAGTAGGTTTAAATGGAGAGGCTGGCTCCACCCATCCTCAGCCTACGCAGTGGAAACTGTTCTGTCAGGCGCCTAGGGGTTCGATGCCCTTTGCATTCCGAAGCTCATTTTAATGGCTCCAATTACCATCATCTGCATTTGTTTACCACGAGATTGTCAGAAGTGGTGAGGAGGTGACATGCTAAGGGGTGGTGGGGGAATATTTCTAGAAGGTGATCATAGTGGGCGGACTGGAAAGGAGCACGTGTTTCAGTAGTGATATTAACCTCATTTCACCAAGGAAAGCATTTCTCAGCCATATTCCCTCTTGCTTTGACTTTTACTGGACTCTTTGCTGGATTTGAAGTGGTTCAGGAGGTTAAATAGCCATCTGAGAATTTCAGAGGTCACACTTGTCCTTTTTCTCCCAAATATGGGCTGTGTCCTTTAGAGGTAACAGCGCCATGGGTTGCCCACCCTGACCAGTTCATATGCAGAACTGACTTTGCATTCACCGGGATGCTTATCCACCGTGTTCTATAACCCCATTACCAATATGAGTAGTTGCACATTTTCAAGAAACCTGTTTCGAGCCAGGAATATGATCTCCAGACTCAGAACAGAGAATTCAGGTTGCTCACAGTGACAGCAAATCCACAAACATCCCCCTTTCTCCTCCCCCTAATTATCAAGCATTCATCTATATGGGTGTCAATTTTCTTAGTTTTCTCATCTGTAAATTGGGAAGAATTATAATGACTGACAGAAAATGGTCATTATGCCATGCCTAAGAATAATTTTGCTAAACACATGACAAATAAAAAGGTGCTATAAAAATTCAGGCACTTGTGAACACTTAGAATACCACATACTGGTGGAATGTTTCTGAAGTTAAAGATACTAACAAGTCAAGGGCACTATTTTTAAATGCCCCAAATCTGTTAGTTCTAAATAGAAACTGAATATTTTACCTTAAAGAAATTAGGCTTTTAAATTAATCTATGGTAAGAATGACATTTGAAAGTAAAAAAAAAAAAATTCTCTTGAATGCAAGAAGAGCATCCAAAAATTTTAACAGCTTAAAATAAATCTCTTTCCTGTCTTCTCTCAAGCAATCTCCAAATGGACAGATTTCTGTGAATCTTTCCTCAAAACAATTTTCTTCTAAGTGTAGGCTCAAATCAGGACAAACTACAATCCAAATATATTTGGAGAAAAGTATAATCAATTTAAACAACAGGTTGGAGCAGAAAAGACCTACACATCTTAATGGCAAAATCAGAATGACTTTCTGAACAGCTGGAGATTAGGTTTCTCCTCCCTATTTGTTCCCCTTCCAACGGCATTCAGACCTAACTGAGCTCAGATCCACTAGCTTCCTCAGGGTCACCAAGGGGCTGCTCCTTGTACATATTTCATGTTAATGTCACAGGCTGGCCAAAGGATGCTTACGTATTGTATAATCAACAGTCCAGTGCTGTTTCTTTCTATTCGGCAAAACATTCATTTGGCTGTAACGGGATTTCTGGGCTAAGGCCATTCTATGTAATCTTTCCCATAAGCTGTGGCAGAAAGCCAGACGTTGGAGGTCTGCATGCAGGAGCTCCAGGCCCTTCTCCACAGGAACAGGCTACCTTCCTGGTAGGTAGGGACAGTGCGCACATGTCTATGGGCACCGTGCCATGCTATTTTCCACTTCTTCCTGTAATTACTATTAGGCTGGAGACTGCCAGGCAAGAAGGCCAAGAATGTTACTATTTTGACGGTCCACAGAACACAGTCCCCACTTCTAAGCCCCAAGTTTCTCTATGGAATCAGCAGCTTGGTACAATGCACACGGGTTGCAGACACTTGGCTCTTGTTATTTCTTGTTTCGTTTTCTTGCAACAGCTGAAGTATGGTCTCAGCTCAGTCATGAGCAGAACAAGGTGGGGTCCCTTATCTAGAGGCCATTATGATGAAGAACATACAGAATGGAATGTCCCAGCCTCATTCACCTCTCGCCCTTTCTGTAAAGTTTTATGTTTGCTTTGTCAGAAAAATAACAATAGGAGATTTAAAATCTCATTTCCTAATTAATAATTTTTGCTTTGTGGACAGGATAAATGGAGTTCTTTTCTGAAAAGAAAACTTTCTTGGTCTTAGCTTAATCCAAAGAAGAAGACTCCAACTTTTTGCCTGACATCCATTGTGGAGATCAGTTCTGAATAGCTGTTGGAATAAAAGAATATTCTTTCCCAATGGACTCCAAGTTATCCTACTCCCTTCTATCGTCAACACACATGTTGCTTTCTCTCTGAAGTACTGAGTTATGTTTCAGAAAGAGAAAATATCTTCTAAATGTGATTTATCAACTTTCTTAAAAGAGAATTTGAAGAAGTGATTCTCAGATTAGTGGGAAGACAGTGAAAATAAACAGCAATGGAGTGATTTCAATAGCGACAATCTCATTAAGCTGCCCATTTCCAAATTTAGCCCATAGGCAGTTTTTTTTAATTAAAAAATATTTTTAACCTGAATTCTTATTGGCTACGTGAAGTCTGGGTGGCTTCTGAATTCTTGGAAGCCATTCTCTTTTCTTCTGTAAATTTATGCTGTCCTTTAACCACTTCAAAATAAATTAAAAACTGGAAAGAGAAATTCAGCCAAGCTACAATAACTAATGCAAAGCTGACTTGTGTTATGTAATTTCAAAATGGAAGTTTCCTTTTGAGGTCCATATTTGGTCACTGAATTTCATCATGGTGGAAATACCATTATTCAGATCACGGGGACAAAAGAATAATTAGAAAATAGCAACACAGCTTCTGTTTTTGAGTTAATGTTATGAAAGAGAATGTGGTTCATGTAATTAATCCGCCTTTTGAGGCCAAATGAGTGGTCACCTGGTTTTAAAACACACTCTAGCTTTGAAAATATAGATGTTGGCTGACTCAAAATGGTGGTAAGTTACTTTTGGCTACTTTGGAAGACCAAATGGAAACAGCTTGCTCTGAATGCAGAAAAGCCCGAACCCGGGGGGAGAAGCCTGCTCCAAGTACCGTGAAGACACCATCACCTCAGTGGTGTAAGTGGTGTACTCACAGTCAGATGACCCGGTATGAGCGTGCGAGTTTGTCAGTGAATGTGTTGAGTGGATGAGGGCTGAGCCTGGAGACAAAACAGCTTCAAAGTTCAGGCAGGGAAGGCCCGGCTTGGCGCTGGATCCACCCGGCTGAGTAATCTCATTCTCCTCAGATGCCTTCTGGTTTTCAGCTGTCTTGGGTTTCTTCCTGAAAATAAACAAAGGGCCCTTTGAAGGAACTGACTGCATATTTGGGAAAAGGCATTTTTAGAATCTGTTAAAGATAACTTGATTTTTTTTTTTTTCCTGAGGGGGGATGGGAAGGAGTCCAGTATGTCCCTTGTTTTAAAACAAGCTGATTCTTGTTTTTTTTTTTTTTTCCCCCTCCAGTAATGGCCTAACTGGGAACACATGAAAGCATATGGGCCAAGCAAACAGCACCACATTTGGACTCTGTTGGCTGCATAAAAAGACCCTGTCCCAGAACTTTAGACAGCTTGAGCTACGTATGGCTGACATTATCCAAGAAAGCATCCTTTCTTCCCCCCGTAAGAGTTTTAACATGGTCTGGAAAAATACTAGTGGAGGCTTTACCGTTCTAGCATTTGTCAGGAAGCTTAGAGACAGGACCCGTGGAGTAATGGGAGGAGCACTGGACTGGGAGTCAGGAGACTTGAGCTATGGTACTAGCTGTGCCTCTAACTTGCTGTGTGGCACTTGGGCACCTCACTTCACCTCTCTGGGCTTCAGTTTCCTCATCTGTAAAATAAAGGGCTTGGATTAGAAGGCCTTAAAGGTTCCTTCTGGTTTTCAGTTTCTATTCATGTAACACATTACGGAGCAGTCAACTTTCTTGCTGTTATTAGATTTTGTTTTAGATCAACACATAATTTCAAATCACAATCTAAACTTGCAGGCTGTACTAATGAGAGGGGTAGTGATGAAAAACTTTGTTAGAGCAGCAAATGAAAAGTGAAAAGAGCTTAGACTCCAGCAGGTAAAGAAGGAAGATGTCACATAGAGATCCTCTATTCCAACTCTTTACTCATCTGAAGTTTAAGATTCCCTTTTAGAAAAATAATTTAGTGCATGATCCTGGAGTGCAGGAGTGTGACTGTGTGTTTGGGAAGAGAAGGGTGAAGGGAAGTAGAAAGTAACTGTGATTTGGGACCAGGAATAGGAAGAGGCAGAGCTCAACTATCAGTCAGCCCCTCTCCCTCGGACCATGCAGCTGATTTAAATGAATACATACTTAGCTTAACGCTGCACGCACCCTTGGCCCTAGTCAAATCAAATTATTTGTCATACTCTGAACACCGCCCCATCCACCCCCGCCAGTTTCCTTGGCTCTAAGCTTTTTCTATCATCATAGTATAGTGAACAGAAAAAGTATTTTTAAAAAATATTTTCTGGTAGAAGATTATGTGTGGTACAGAATTTGTTGTAAGTGGGTCTGTTCCCATGTTTCCCTTGCTTCTCTAAGCATGGCAATGGACTTGTTATACAGAATATTTTGTATTGAAATTTGTTGTACTGGGTAGTTAAATCTGCCCTCGCAGAATATGGTGTTATGAATTAGCATGCTGTGTTTCTGGTCCAACAGGTTGTGAAATCAAATCTGCTTTTCCAGAGGGCAGGAGGCAGAGATGGCATGGTGAAGATGAAAATAGAGGGAGAGCGTTTAGACATATTTTTAGGATGGAGGAAGCCAATACAAAAGCAACAAACTGCAATCCTTTACCAACTCTTTATTGAATGGTGACTAAGGAATGAACCTCCAAATCTTGATTGTCTATGTGGGCCTCTAGAAACTGGTTTCTGGTTTTCAGTGTAAGGAAGTACCCAAGATTAGAGTTCCCAAAACCCAACTGCTTTTTCTTCATGAAAATCAACGCTTCCTCTACAGTCCCTGTTTCTCTCACCACTGTCTGTCACCAGGTTTGTCACCATGTTGGACACCTCAGGGTCACACATCTTCTTCTGCCTTGAAGCCATTTTGTCAAGTCCTGACAATTGTGCATCCTTCATATTTTGCATACCTATGTTTCCTTTCTGTTTGCATTGCTATCACCTTAACACTTTTTATTTAGACTGTTGTTTACTTCCTGACTCCCATCCTCCTGACTTCTCCACTGCCACAGCTTTGCCTTCACTAATCTGAATGACCATGTCAGGCTGGCACTCCAGGTGAATTCCATGTATATGAGACTGCAAACTCTCTGAGGGTAAAAAACATCATAGTTATTTTTTAATTCCCTGCGTTCACCCATTTGTTCCTTCTTCCTCCCCTCCACCTATTCATTTATTCATGTATTCGTTCCACAAATACTTACTATGTGCCTGCAATGTGCCAGCATGGGCTTGGGAATAAAACAAGCCTGGTTTCTGCCCCCCTCCCAGATTTGCTGTCTAGTGTATACCGTGAAGCAGAGTAGCTTAGACAAAGCTGTCATTCAATATAGGTTTGTTGATGGAATGAAATTGAGTTGAAATTAAAGTATATTTTGAGAATAGTTATAGTCTGAATCACAATTAAGTTTCCTACTCTTTATGCAGCAGGGAAATCTACCTTGACAGGCTGTTTTCCTTGGAATCCAGAAGTACATTTGATAAGAGTAGGACTGTTTTGCCCACTAAAGCTAGGCTTGTCCTCATGGGTCATTTAAATATCAAGATGAAACACTAATGACAGACATCACTTAACATAAAAAAATTTATTTCTGGTGTTCATAAATAAGGTCTAGGCTAGTTTCAGATGTACTAATTTCCTTGGTTTCTTTCAGAAAATTGAGGAAACCGTCTTTGAAATGTGAGTGTATGGCCAGCCCACCAACATTACTCTTTCATTTTAACTTTGCAGAAGTTGTATTGTTCTTTCTATTGATGGCATCGCTTCCTTCTCTAGATTTGATCCTGCCTCCCACCTGACATCTTGAATCATACCCTCCTGTCTGTCATCTCAAGGATCACCTCTGGGGAACATTCATAGCACAGAGACACTGAAACCATCTCTACAAATAGAGAACATTGAAAACTCAACCTTCTGGCTCTTCATTCCTTCATTTGCCTAAAATCCCTTTACTTGTTCTTAGACCACTGGGCTATTTCCCAACTGCACATAACAGAGAGACATTCATTGACCTTAGAAACAATGCGTTTTCCATCTCACTGTCTCTAATAGTGGATTCCTTTTTCCAGAGCTAAGAAACTCTAAAACATAGCAACCATCTACATTTAGACATGCACAGGTGCTGTTATTTTGACCCTAGTATTGCAGCGCATATTTTATTGAGGGGGAAAAAGGAAGTCTTGTAGTAATTAATTGAAAATACCTTCTTTGGTATAAAAGAATTACATGAACATGGCATATTCGAGGGCAAGTCTCACCGAGCCTCAGAAGCTGTGCACTAGTCCCTGGAGCCTTTAGAGGGCAGCAGCGCACCAGCTGACTCCAGGCAGCGTGTCAGGCAAACTCCCCACCAGACCAGAACCTTCCTCCTGGTCACCATGCCAAAGGTTGGTTTGCCAAGCTCTCTGGCCGCTTAGCTTCCTTCTTTCTTTTCTGTTTCTCTCTCTCTCCCTCTCTCTCTCACCTCCCACTTCCCACACTCTCTCTCCCTCTCTCCCTCCCTCCTCAATGTTAAAATTATACACTCTGATGAAGTCGCCCCTCAACCGGAAAATGAAAGCTCCAATGAAAAAGTTAGACGAGCCAATGACAACAAAGAGAGAAACTGGGAGAAAGGGGAGAGGGGGCTGGTGAGGGGGAAGGACTGAAGAACAAGAAAAGGGCAGATGTTTCGTAAATATATGCAAAGCGAAACTGGGTGTACCCTGAACATTTCCACAGAGAAACAGACCAATCATTGTGCACTTCCTCCCGCCACACTGGTGGAGCTCTGCTTTAAAAAAAAAAAAAAAAGTGTGGCCACAGGCACCTGCCTTTCAACGGTCAGTTCTGACATGCTGACTATCTCCCAATTGTCCAAAGAGAACAAAAACATTTTCATCTCCCCACAGCAAACATTTCTGTTATGAGAAAAAGGCTGCTTCAAGGAGTGGAAAGGCGATTTAAGGTGACGGGTGGTTGAACTGGCCAGCAGGACCTACTGGTATTTAACTCTCATTGTGCTGGCCATGGCAACAAGTTTGGGGCTGAAACATAGCAGTGAGTAAGGTTGTGGGTGATGTTGGCTCTTTCCTTACTAGACCATATTGTATGTGGCAAGAAATATACATGAAAACATATTGAGGAGATGGTAGGTAATAAGCATGTTAAATGCATGGAAATTAACTAGATCGGTTGGCATTTGATGTATAGATTTCACACTTCTTTGCACATGTTGCACACATACAATGATGGCAATGCTCTCTGCGACATATGGAAAATAAATATTTTATCTCTGTGAGCTCTCATCAGTCTCCGGGGGCTGCTGAGGGAGAGTGTTCTCTTCACCAATTTTCTCTCTTCACTGGGCTCCCACCCTCTCCTACATATTAACATGCCTTCCGCTCATCAGCCTGGTTGGGTGGAAAAGAATTAGAACCCCTTTTTCATAAATACTGAGTCACTGTTTCATGACAATTTTGACCCCTGCCCTGCTTATCCCCCATCTTTTTGGTGTGGTAATCTTTTCCTTATTCTGCTTCCCAATAATACATGGAAGAGGCTTAGTACAGTATTTGGGGAGGAGGGCAAAGGGGAGGTGGTAACAAACCACCTCAGTGGGGGCTGGCAGTAGAACTGAGCTCTACCATCCAGTAGCTGTGTACCTGAGGAAGATTCCTCTGCCTTGCTGGGCCTCAGTTTCCTCATCTGTAAAATGGAAATAATAAACATTCTAGGGCTGCTATGCTATGCAATGCTAAGTCGCTTCAGTCATGTCTCTTTGTGACCCATGGACTATAGCCTGCCAGGTTCCTCTGTCCATGCAATTCTCCAGGCAAGAATACTGGAGTGGGTTGCCATTTCCTTCCCCAGGGGATCTTCCCCAACCCAGGGATTGAACCTGGATCTCTTGTGTTTCCTGCATTGGCAGGTGAGTTCTTTACCACTAGCACCATCTGGGAAGTTGATGTGAAGATTAAATAATTCCTGTTGAGTGATGGGCACAGCGCTGGCACACAGTCAGTGCCCTGGGAGGGTAGCTCTTTCATAGAGTGTTGGTTCTGCAGTTTTCATTTTAGCTAGAAGGAGGCAATTCTTTTATCTTAGTCATCTTTTAAAATATCTAGATTTGGGTAGGGGCAAATGGATTAAAATTGTAGCAAAGGCAGAAAGAATGCTAGGATAAGCAGTCTCCTCTTCAACACTTTTTTTTTTTTTTTTACGGTATCACCCTCCTGACACCTTCTTTCTGTTCATGTGTTTGTCATTGCTGCTACTACACCATTAGCTCCTCTTGAAGCTGGGGGTCAAGCAAGCTACACTTGGCCTAGAGAAGCCCATCAAACCTGAGCACTATGGTCTATTCATTGAAGCCAACCTTTGGCACTCTAGCTTATCATGTTTTCTTACAGTTTATCCTTTCACCGCTTGGTCTAATGTTCTCAGATCCATTTGAGATGTTTTCATGATTAAAATATTTTATTCTTTCATTTTTTTAACCTTCTTGGCAAGGTTGATTTACAATGTTTTTCAGTATATTTCTCCCTCACTGTATCAGTCAGGATCTTGGCAAGAAACAGATGGCACATTGAAAGGTTTTAACTGAAGAGAGTTTAATGAAAGGACTCTCTACTGAGGTACAGAGGAAGTTAAAGGACCCTCAAGGGAAGTGATGCACCAAGGACCAGCAATAGTGCGAGGTTGTTAATCTCAGCTTTAAACTGCTAAACCGGGGCGGGGGTGAGGAAAAGTATGGAGCTTCCCACGTCCAGTCAGAACTGGAGTTGGGAAGGGGCCTGACTGAGAAGTACCCTGACCCTACTCTCCTGTCTCTTGCTAATGCCTCCTTTTGTTGTTGTTGTTCAGTTGTGTCTGACTCTTTGTGACCCCATGGACTGCAGCATGCCTTCACCATCTCCTGGAGTTTGCTCAAGTTCATGTCCATTGAGTCAGTGATGCCATCCAATCATCTCATCCTCTGTTACCCCCTTCTCCTCCTGTCTTCAATCTTTTCCAGTATCAGAGTCTTTTCTATGAGTCAGCTCTTTGCATTAGGCACCAAATTACTGGAGCTTCAGCTTCAGCATTAGTCCTTCCAATGAATATTCAGGGTTGATTTTCTTTAGGATTTACTGGTTTGAACTCCTTGCTGTCCAAGGAACTCTCAACAGTCTTCTCTAGCACTACAGTTCAAAAGCATCAATTCTTTGGTGCTCAGCCTTCTTCATGGTCCAACTCTCACATCTGTGCATGACTACTGGAAAAGCCATACCTTTGACTATATAGACCTTTGTCAGCAAAGTGATGTCTCTGCTTTTTAATATACTGTCTAGATTTGTCATAGCTTTTCTTCCAAGGAGCAAGCATCTTTTAACTCCTTTTGGTCAAATTAAAAGGTAGCCAGAGAAAAAGGCAGCCTGGGTGTCATAATCTGGAAACGTCAGTCTCCTGGGCCATGTATCAGGGCAGGGAATGCTCTATGGTTTTGCATGTGTGTCAGAGGTGAGGGAGGGATGAATTAGGATACTATTTCTCCCCTCTCCATATCCTTTACCTTTTCTCCCATTATACTTTCCAGAAGGAAAGACAGCAAATAAAATAAAAGCAATTCTCTCTTAGTGTTCAAGTGCCTATTTTGCCTATTTGCAATTTATGGAGGAAGAAAACTGAACATAAGAGTAGGGAGCTCCCTGTGAACTGTGAGAGCAGGGTTGTTCTATTTGCTGCCATACTTTTGGTTCCTAGAACAGTGCCTGGCACTTGGCAAATACCCAGTAAATTTTAGTTGACTGAGTAAATATACTCACATCTGCCGCGCCAGACACCACACATACATTATCTCATTTAATCATTGCAACAATCCAGGCAGGTTGCTAAGCCTGGTTGTGCAGGTGTTATGGGAGTAGGTAGGTTTTAAAATCTAACAACTTACCTCCTCCCTACTCACCCTTCAAGCCTTGAGACTTCACCCGGGGATTGTAAACCCATAGAGAGGGATTCACTTGTAATTAGAACACATTTTTATACCATACTGGGTTTCCCAGGTGGTGCTAGTTGGTAAAGAATCAGCCTGCCAATGGAGGAGACTTAAGAGATGTGGGTTCGATTCCTGGGTCAGGAAGATACCCTGGAGGAGGAAATGGCAAATGTGGGTTGCCCGTATTCTTGCTGGGAGAATTCTATGGACAGAGGAGCCTGGAGAACTACAGCCCATGGGGTCACAAAGAGTCAGACACAACTGAGCATCTGAGCAATGTTTATACCATATTCACCTTACTGAATGAAGGTTTTGCACCAAGCAAGTCTCTGTAAGTTTTATTATTATTTCTATTTTACATATGAGGAAGCTGAGCTTCTGAAAAGCAAAGGCTGAAAGAATTAGAACCCAACGTTTCCATCCTCAAGGTCCCACAAATCATGAATCTAGGCACTGGTGTTCAGTACAGATGCTCCCTTGTGGGCTTCCTAGACATTTTTAGGAAATCTTAGGTCCCAATTTCTGTCCTGATTCTGGATTGAATCCAGAATCTTTTCCATCCCAAAGGATAAACCAGGCTGAGACTTTGAAACCAGCTGTACCCTTGTGTTTGCAGTACTGTACTCTGTGATGGAAACAAACTTGGAAAGCTGTCCGGATGTGGGGATTTCTAAGGCATTCTTTCGCTTGAACTTAAGGATGATGGTGTTTACACAAGCAAGCTGCTCACATGGGTACAGAATGAGGACACTCTATTTTTGACCTTTTGTCATGTCTTTAGTCCCCAGTCCCTCCAGCCCATTAGTCCTGTGGATCAGTCTGGCAGTTTCTGTCTCCATTCTGGCCAGGCAGGCCTAACTCTCACCTACACATCCACCACCACCAATTCCAATCCAGGTGACTGACAGCATTAAAGGTAGAAAGCAATGCAAAACAAAACAATACAAAACCCTGACTTCCTCCTCTTTGGGTTTGATTTATGCCCAGAGTAGCTAAAGATATAGAGGATATGAATGTGAAAATCCTACCTGAAAAGCCTGGGAGGGATGTTAGTTTCCTAGGTTTAGCATTTTCCAGTAACAGAGATGTCTGTAAAACACCACCCCATTACCTGCCTCACACCATACAGGAAAATGAGCAAGTACAACAACCAGCATGAGTTTTTGTTTTAAAATGTATAATTATTTTGCATGCATAGCCTCTAAATAATTTAAAGTTCTGGCTTTTATAGTAAAAGAAGGCATATACTTATCTGTTACTTCTAGCAGTGATTAATCAAAACTTGATGTCACTCTTTCACCAGTATTTCCTGTTGGCGTCCAGCTCCTACCCCAAATTACTTCTTCAACTTGACTGCAAGGGTCCTACTTCTCCTATGTAAATGTCTGACTTGAAGGGAACTCAATTGAATACCCTGAGCCTTGCATCCTGAGGGTAGAGCTGACCTGGGCACAATGGTTTAGAGTGTGGCTGCAGGAGCCCACAGACACAAGGGTGGGTTTTGGCCTCTTGGGTAGCAAGGAGACCACAGCATGGGGGCACAGAAAGGCAGCTACATCACAGGTGGCCGTGGGCACAGAAAGCTGGCTCACAGATGTGACCAGGGCAGCATGAAATGACAAGCTGCAGCAAGATTCAACAGAGCAGCACAGAAGGGCAATGAGAGGCAAACAGAGAGGACTGGAGCTGCCACGGCTTCAGGCCGAGGCACAGATGACCCAGCAGAACAGCACCGGTCCCTGCAAAGTGCATGTAGCTCAGCCCAGTCACCTGGGAAGTGGGCGCGATGCTGCCCAGGGCTCACACGGCCGGCTGGAAGCTGAGAACCAGTGTGGGCACCTCAGGGCTGAGTCTGGTTACCTCACTGCATCCAAGAGATGAAGCCATCTAAAATTTCATCTGCTCTTACAATTGTGAGTGCTTTTTAAAAAATTAAACAAAGTGAACTGAAAGCCTTTCATTGGAGGCATAATGTACTCACAGTAGTTTTCAAATAAATGGTGTCACTCTTCAGGTAAATCACTCCAAGGTTTGGGCCTAGTGCAGCTGTTCATTGGGGCAGGGAACACAGAGTGGCTGCATCTGGATCAGACAAGAGACAAACAAAAATAAGGCTGTCAGAGGAGGAGGCAATGGAGATCACTAGTTCTGAGAGAGCCCTGGGACTTGGTTGAAAGTCTGGTTCCGCATTTTGCACCAGAAACCTGGCAAGTCTGGGGAGGGAGATGGAGACGGTGTTGTCTAGGCCCCATTTGCAGCATTTCTACCCAACTGCCTGTGTGGTGTGAGAACGTCAATAGCACCAACCAGCACAGATGGAGCTGACGGAGCTGACGTTGTAGCTGACATTGGTCCTAAGTTGGAGCTGAGGGTGAGGGCAGAGCAGTGGTCCCCAACCTTTTGGCACCAGGGACCAGTTTCATGGAAGACAATTTTCCCACGGACCTGGGGGTGGGGAGGGGGATGGTTTCAAGATGATTCAAGTGCATCACATTTATCGCTCACTTTATTTCTATTTATTTTTATTTCTGGGCTTCCCTGGTGGCTCAGACGGTAAAGAGTCTGACAGCAATGCAGGAGACCTGGGTTCAGTCCCTGGGTCTGGAAGATCCCCTGGAGAGGGAAATGGCAACCCATACCAGTATTCTTGCCTGGAGAATCCCATGAATGGAGGAGCCTGGCGGGCTACAGTCTATGGGGTCGCAAAGAGTTGGACATGACTGAGCGACTAACACTTTCTAACACTCCTTTATTTCTATTATTATTATATCAGCTCCATCTCAGACCAGCAGGCATCAGATCAGATTCTGGAGGTTACAGAACCCAAGGGAGGAGAAGCGGGGGTGGTGCCCCTCCACCTGGCCACAGCTGACTCTTCCAATGCTCATTTCCCCTAAGTCTCTCCCTCTTTGTCGCTCCAAGATTCTTGCTTGTCTTACAGATGCCCACTGACCCGAACATGTTTCTGACCTCTTGCCTTCTTTCCAACCTTCACTGCAGTCTGTTTCCTGCCGCATCCTCTAACCCTGAGGAGTGCAACCTCAGGAGTTACAGAATGGACTCCCATCTGTCTCAGAGACTCATACCCAGAGGTCTTTTCCCCAGGCCTTGGCCCTTTGGTCACCTGGGCCTGATGACCACTTTATTCCGGAAGCTCTCCTCCCTTCTCATCAGGATATGGCACCATCCTGACTTCGCTTCTGTTCTCAGTTCTCTCTTTTGCTTCCTTCCTTGGCCTCTTCTCTTTCCCCAAATGCAGACATACCTCAGGCTACTCTTCACAAGCTTTGCCTACACACCCACCCTCCATGGCCTCAACAATCACTTCTCCATAGAGAACACCCACATGGCTATCTTTAGTTCTCACTTGTCTACAGAGCTCCAGACACATATTCTAAATAACTGCTGGTTATTGGTTCATTGATTCATTTGCTTGTTTGTTCATTTATTCACTGTTTACATAGACTCTATTAGGCACCTGGAAAAGATGAATAAGATGGGGCCTCTAACTTTGAGAAGCTCACATCTCCATCATACACTGCACAGGCACTTCTAACTCAGAAAGTTTCAAGCAGAATTCATTGCTTTTCCCTCAAAATGAGTGCCTTCTCTAGTCTTCCCATTTCCTGCTATTGGTACCATTTCCCTCCAGTTACTTGTACCTACAATTGAGGAGTCTTGTTTAATTCCCTCTTTTCTTTCATTTCCCATACACAATAAGCTGCCAAGTCCTGTGGTTTTTACTCAGGCTATGAATCAATACTCACTTTTTATCCCTTTATCACCTGTTGCCTGGACGTCTGTGAGTGCCTCCTACTTGGCTTCCCTTCCTCCAGATCCTCTTTACCTCTTGTTCATCCTTCATATCAGCAATGCATTTACTGTTCTGAAGTACAATTCTAAATACATCATTCTTTTGCTCTTTGCTGGATTAAATGCAGACTTCTCAGCTTGGCATTTAAGGTTTCTACAATATAGCCCCATTCTAATTTCCTTCTCTTTTTTTTTTCTATAGTCCATTCTACATTGCAGAAGTTCCATTCCTTCCCATCAGGGTCATGATCTTTCCTCCCTTTTCATAACATCTGCATAGAGCTTCCTTAAGGGCAATCCAAATGCCATCTCACTTATAAGACATTTCCCAAAGGAAAGTGCCCTTTCTTGAATCCTAAAGAACTTTTTGCACCGTTCCCTTTGCACATTATATGAAAAAGGAAAAGAAAGCATTAGTTGCTTAGTTGTGTCTGATTCTTTGTGTCCCCATGGACTGTAGACCACCAGGTTTCTCTCTCCATGGAATTCTCCAGGCAAAAATACTGAAGTGGGTTGCCATTTTCTCCTCCAGGGGATCTTCCTGACCCAGGGGTCAAACACAGGTCTCTGGCATTGCAGTTGGATTCTTTATAGTCTAGGCCACCAGGAAAGCCCTTACATGTCCTGTGGTCTCTAATATTTATTTGTGCAATATTTCTTCCTGCTTAAGCTTCTTGAAGGCAGAGACCATTTTTACTTTCTGCTACCCCACTGTGCACAATGCCTTGCACACAGCTTAGTGCTCGGCGGTGATCTGCTGATCCAAATTTAAAAGGAATAAAGATGCTTTCTTAGAGTCATGGAAGCTGAGACTAAACTGGAAAGACCTTGAAGCTCATCTACTCCAAACCCTCATTTTTCAGATGAGGAGATCAAGGGAACTGAGTTGCTCAAGGCCACATCCTTGCTAGTGGCTGAGTAAAGACAACTGATAGAAAAAGTCACAAATCTCTAAATACCTACCAGTGCTTGCTCAGAACCAGTAGGCCCAGCAGACCATCAGCAGTGACCAGACAGAGACAGTGATGGGTTGGGGTGCATAATCTGCAAGGATACACTGGGTTCCACAAAATGAAGAATTTTGTTTCCCTTACTTTAATAAACCAAACTAATAAATGCCTTTTTATAGTTAGGTGTTTTAAAAATGAGGGTGGATTTAAAGAACAAGGGAGCAAATCTCTCTAATAATACAAGCAGAAACATCTGTGACAATATTACAAATACCACTGGAGTGATCAACTCGGTGCCAAAGCAGAATGAAGAAATTTCTCATGCTTTGAAAAAGCAGTGTATTCAGCTGAAGTTCTAGGTGAGAACAGGCTGTGGTAATTCTACGGTTAAATTCATCTTTTTACAGACTCATAAGCTACTGACAATCCTGCTATTATGCCACACCAATAAATCTTCTCCCACCTAGCTTTGCCCAATTTTTATACTATAGGTTTGTTTAAATGTTTTCTTGGTTTCCTTTCATTATATCTCCGATCTCCTTGTAGAAAAGGATAGTGACTGCTCCCAAGACTGTTCTAATTTTTGTCCCTTAATCTTCTCTTGTGGTATAAGAAATATTAACTGTTTAACCTCCTCTCTATCCTCATACTCAAACAGAATCATTTTCTTTCACCTGATGATGTAAAGCCCAAGAAAACATGTTGTGGGGATAGCAGTGTTTTCCTAAGTGAGGAAAACAGACTTTTCCAGGGGATCTCAGTAGTTTTTAATGTGTCCAGAAGCACTCAGCTCTTAAGCGCTAGCCACTAGTCCCATAAAACTTCATCTGCCTCCCGCAAGTGAGCATGTTACTCATGTTACTCACTGTTAATCCCAGAGGAAAACTTGGTACTGGTTATCATATTCTCTTGGCCAATATGGTGGAGCTATGTGATGTACTGAGAGATCCACTATATAGTAACACCCCAGGAGCCACATAAACAGTAAATTGGGTTCAAGAGCTCCTCACAGTTCTTACTAAATCATCACATGGCTGGATAGATTATCAACAGGTCATCAGACAGAGCTTCCTTCTCTTTTCTTCCTTGGCAACTATATTAAAATGATAGAGGAAATCACTTGTCAATATGTCTAGTACATTGCAATGAAAAATTACCTGGAAGCATACACATCCATTGTGTAATTATGTAAGTGTACATTTTAAATATGTCTAACATTTGATTTAAATTGTGCATATTATAATTAAATGGAGACATAATTTTCTGTCCTTTAATCAAACTCCTCTTATCAGCTCCACAGCCTCTTGCTATGATTTTCCTTTCCTTTTTGGGCAAATTGTTACCTCTCTCCTTCTTATTTCCCCTCTTGCCACAGCATACACCCAAAGGTTTTTAATTAGAACTACTGCATGGTGTGTCATGTTCTATTGCTTAAGGACTAGTGATGCTCTAAAAAAGACTCAGGGAAATTGACTACATGAGGTTTCATATTTATCCTTTTCCAATGGCATCCATATCCAATGTACTCAGTTTCTAAGTCAAAAGGTAAGAGGCTGCTGGGGTCTTATATTTCCCCTAGAATCTGGAAATCCAGCTGTTCTCTCTGCCTCTTACATCATCACTGTAAAAAATAATCTTCTCCGGGAGCCCAGCTGGCAAGGTTCTGGATGGTGTCAGAGGCAGAGGAGACAGTGGATCATTTCCACTCCAGACTGCTGTATTGTTGATGGCTCTGCAGATCTGTCCTGAAGCCCTTAGAGAGCAGAGCTGTTATATAACATGCCGCCACAGACTGCTGTGAGGAACTTTCTGTGGAGGTCTCATTTCAGTATGACCATTTCCATATCAAATAATTCTAAAATGACAGATGGGGCTTCTATGACAAAAGCTTACAAAAAAAATAGTAACAATAATTTGTTAGATGTTTAAATGTTGTTAGGGAGTGTATGAGGAATTTTTATGTATAAATCTATTCTTATTCAATCCTTACAGCAATGCCATGATGCAGGTGTTAATATACCCATTTTATAAGTGGGGAAAAGTGAGACCCAGAGTCCTCAATCAACTACTCTAAGATTAGGAAGCTGTGGGTAGTGTGAGGCCAGAATTTAAACCCACATCTTACTGACTCTAAATCTGTGCTCTTTTCATTATACAACAACTGCTCCAACACAGCACGAGCACATTTCTAGTTCCCACTGTGATTTCAGCACAAGAGAGAGGTTTATATTGTTTCCATGATGGTTCAGAGGCACTGAAAGCACTGGGAGCATAGATCTCAGGTGAGATCTCTCTAGGAAGGAGTTATTGTTTCTGAAA